AAATTCTTGTTCAGAGCTATTAGGTTGATTAAGATATAAGAGCGGTTCTAAGTCGAATACGTTAAAACTTGATTGAAGTAAAGGGTCGTATAATGTTGATGCCAACTGTTGGGCTTAATTCGTGACGTAATATTCAGGATCGGAAAAAGATCAATGGTTCGGATCGGTTATAAGTATATGTGATTCTATATGTGACGGGTCCGGAAATAACGGGTGAGAATAATCAATGTGAGGGGGGATATTATTAATTGGCGAGTAAACGTCTGGAGAAGGGGATCGTACGATTATTCGTGTTGGATAAATTTGGACATTAAGATTTAAGGGTCTGCGTGTCCTACGTTCGCGCAGCCTATGGAGACGTCGCTCGCTACGGTCGATCTGATTCCTCCGTCGGAAAGGAGAGACCATCTAACGGTTAGATAAATTTATATGAATAATATGTTTCGTTGAAGAGAGATTGCTTTATTACTTAAAATAATTAAGTATGACTCACGTTTGCAGCGTGATTTACTTGTTAATGAAAGCGAACGGAGATGAAAGGTTAATCTATGTGAAACTGCCCTTCACCTGTTAATGAATTAACTTTATGTCAGTGATTGTTATAATAAACCTGTATAAAAAAGAAAAAGGATTGGTAATAATGTGGGTGAAGAAAGAAAAGGGTTTGAAAAGGAGTATTGATATCTATCGAGGCTGGGAATGAAGTTTTGTATGTTATCGGCTATAAGTAAAGTATCTCTAAGTGGTAAAGTAAATTTCTATTTTATCATTAGTTGGTAACGTAAAGAATATTAATATTTGTACCTTCAAACATCGAGGGTTAACGTTTTAAACATTGAAATAATGATTATAATAGTTTGCATTAAAAGAAGAGAGAGATAGTGATGCAGGGAGAGGGTAAGGATTTGAATATGAGTATTAATATCGATATTCTGAATATTAATACTCGATATGTCGATAATTATACTTTAGGCTTTGAAATAAATAAATTCTCAATGATTTGTCAAGATCACTGTCAGTCGGTGTGGTAAAGTATTCGCAACTATTTGAAAATGCAAGAGGTATCAAAAGCGTGAAAGGGATAGAGAGATAGGTGTTCATCCGGCTAGGCCGGGTTCTCAGGTCCTTGTCTTATTAGGCTAATGCAACGTTCACTTTACTAAACGTGCACCTCTGGGATGGCTTACGAATATACCTTCTGACAGGATATTATTCTAATGTGTATTAAACAGGGTGAGGTGGAGTACACTGGTCAAAATGAGTTTAATTTCAATATGCAAGGATTCTGGGTACGTGTATTAATATGTATATCAAGAATATTAATACTTGTACTTTCAGGCATCAAAGATTAATGTCTTAAACATCGAAGTAATAATTCTTAGTAATTATCAAGACCTCTGTCATTCGGTTTGGTAAAGTAATTCGTTTGGATTATAGAGCAGAGAGAGAGTAAGCAGAGAAGGTTAAAGAAATACACTGTGACCCGTGTGAATTCTGGTCCTTAAAGGCTAATGCATACGTTCACTTTACTAAACGTGCATCTCAGAATCGTAGCAACGAATTTACCTTATGACAGAGTATCGTTCTATAGGTAGTAAATAGGGTTAGGTGGTGTACACTTGTCAAATGAATCGAATATCAATATGCAAAATCACTGTCAGTTGGTGTGGTAAAGTATTCGCAACTATTGGAAAATGCAAGGTAATAAAAGCGTAAAAGAATAGAGAGATAGGTGTTCATCCGGCTAGGCCGGATTCTCTGGTCCTTGTCTTAATAGACTAGTGACGTTTACTTTACTAAACGTGCACCTCAGAGATGACTTGCAAATGTACCTTCTGACAGGATATAGTTTCTAATGTGTACAGAGGAATTAGCGGCATTCAATTCGCTAATATGTGGTAGGATACAGGGTTACACATATATAAGTAAGCAGTAATACAATAAAATACATAAGTATATTTATTATAATAGATTGAGTAAGTGTGCGATATTGGTTAAATAGTATTAAATAGTATTGAGTAAAATATTGAATAAATCGACGATTGTAACGCAGACGTGTGCAGATGCAATACGTGGATCGAAATAATATCGGGAATGCAGAGTAATATATGGCTTATGTCTATATTCAAAATTTAGAGTTCGGAATGTAATGTAAGATTGAGTTAATATTGAATAATTAAATATAATGATTAAATATAATGAGTGTCCGTCGCGCTTTACTATTTAGGGATATGTGAACTGGCTTAAATACTCACAAGGTTAGACTATGTCTAATGTGCCTTGTTATGGTACACTTCGCTACTGTGTTCTTCCCTCTGAGTCTGAAGATCTGAGGAGCCTCGGTACCTCGGTCCGAAATGGCGGCTATGTCTCACCAAAATGGCGGCTATGTCTCGTTGTCTTCAGGACCCCGTAGTAATTGCTGGTTGAGTGCTGGATTGTTGTTGACTGGAATTACTGCGACGAAATCACTGCCGTTCCGTGCCGGGTGCAGGGTTTATATACCGTAAAATGTGGCTCGCTTCTCCCATCGGGTGATGAGGCTAAGCCAATGGTAAGAGAGATATGCCGGGGAAGTACCGGAGACAATCTGTTCCTGGTAGAGATTGCGACGGTTAAGTCCCGGAGAGATGGCTTCTTAGAAGCTATAGCGGCGTTCCTTTGATGACTCATGCCGGGCGCTCCGACTTTTCTTATCGTATTCTTAGTAGCGATAGCAGTGCTTCTTTGGTGACTCAGCGCTATGCGGCTTGCAACGGGCCTTGCAGGTTGCAACGTGTTTTAGCGTTGCATCATGCATTGCATCATGCTTCTGGAATGTAACGGTTCTCAACCGTCTTTCTAGAATCTTCTAGAATCTTTTAAATGTTTTTTAAGAGTAAAGCCGAGTTCACATAATAAAGCGTGTTTCATACCTAACTACTTAATAAACGATATTTAGGTATTATCCCTTAGAATTTGCGATTTGAAATAAAATGCCTTGGACAGTTAAAACTTATCAATTTACATTTACATTGCTATATGTAAATTGATAGAGAGTTTGTGTCAGGAATGAATTTCTAAACTGTCCCTGACTAAGTTTAACACTCAATTCGTACATCTACATTGCATAGCTATAGTATTTTCGATTGTATGACGGATATAATGTTATTATGCATATTGCATATGATTTTTGTCTCCTAATTTATAAATGAGAGTTTTAAGGTTAATAATATATTTGTTATAGGCATGCTTATTGGCTGGTAATGTTAGTCCTCATATTTGTCGTCGGTTGGTGAGGTAGTTTTCTACCTTATCATTAGTGGGCAAGTTCTGTATGTAGTTGGTAGGCAAGTTTCTGTTTTATCATTGGTCGGTAATGTTGATTTCTCTATTGTCGTGTGTTGGTTAGTAAAGTGCCGTCTAAAGAAAAGTTCTACATATTCGTGGCTGTATAAAGTGTGTAATACACTCAGGGGTTAGAGCGTACGACGGGTATAGTATAATTAGGGGTTATAAACATACAATGTGTACGGTGCCTAGGGGCTCGTAAGTACAAATGGTGTAGAGTATACAGGGGCATTAGTAGCATGCAATATGTACGGTGTTTTAAGGGTTAGAACATACATTCGTTGTCTTATTTAGGCGCGCTTATTCTCTAACTTTTATGTTTCCTAACGAATGATCTAGAGCGGAGCACCCTTGTTAATTATGCCTTTTATGATAGAAATATTATTTAAAAGTGGGTTGCTACTCCCATTGTCATTGGTGAAAAAACATGTTTTAACTTATGAGTAATTATATGTGTGATTAAATATTCGTTAATACCGGTCTTTCATGCAGGTTAGAGATTGTCATGACTAGTAGGTTAAAGAATAAAATTTTGAAAAAAATTGAGACTTTGAAATTTGTCTGGACGTTACATTATCATGATTATTAAATTCTAACTATAAAATAATAGTAGAAGTTACAATTAAACTTTTCTATAATTTACATTCAAATATGAATATAAATTAAAGCAAATAAGATTATTTTAATCTATAACAAAATTTACGAAGTAATGCATTTTATTTCATATCGCAAAAGGAATCGACATATTCTAAAGAATAATACCTAAAATATATAGATATCGCTTGTAAAGTAGTAATTAGGTATGAAACCCGCTTTATTATGTGAACTCGGCTTTACTCTCAAGAAACGTCTAGAAGATTCTAGAAGATTCTAAAAAGACGGTTGAGAACCGTTACATTCCAGAAGCATAATGCAATGCATGATGCAACGCTGAAACACGTTGCAACCCGCAAACCATTATAGAAAGACCGTTAAAAAATATCACTACCAAGAATAAGATAAGAAAGGCCCGTTGCAAGCCGCATAGCGGTGAGTCACCAAAGAAGCACCGCTATCGCTACTAAGAATACGATAAGAAAAGTCGGAGCGCATAGCGATGAGTCATCAAAGAAACACCGCTATCGCTACCGAGAATAAAGGACGGTTGAAAACCGTTAGCGATGAGTCACCAAAGGAACACCGCTATCGCTACTAAGAAGCCATCTCTCCGGGACTTAACCGACGCAATCTCTACCAGGGGGCCTATTACGGTTTTCGAGTGAATTTACTCACTTTTCGCATTATCATTTCACGTGATTTTGATCACCCAATTATGAAACTGTCGAGTGAAAATGTGAAATAACTAGGCATTTCCGGTCTAGTAATCTCACATTTTCACAAGACAGATTCGCCGAGACCGCCGATAGTGTTAGAAGTGTGAGGTTAAAAATATTAATTAATCATGAACGTTACCGAAAAGCAAAAAAAAATATTATTAAGCTACATGAAAGAAAACGAGGATTTTGCAAGAGGCCGCTTGAGATATAATAGTGGCAATAAGAAAATATTAGTAAGTGTGTATCATATTATCTATAAATTAATATATACATCGAAATTCTTATCGTCAATGTCATTGTATTTTATTTATAATATATATATAAATATATAATAATATAGATATTAATAATAATAAATTTTATTTACACAGGATGATATGTGGACTGCCATAAGCCAATCATTAAATGCTACTGGAAATGGACCGCAAAAGCAAGGCAAAGAATGGCAAAAGGTATTTATAAAAGAAATTATAATGTCTTATTAAGTGATCAGAGTAACATTTAGCGATCATTCTGTAATAATCAATTCTGTAATTCTGATTACCAATAATTGTAAGCTCTGTATATAATCGCTGTGTGCAACGATATACAGAAGTTACAGTTATTGCTAACTAGTGTTACAGAATAGGCCTTTTATATTTACACTAGTATGATTAATAAGAAGCCTATTCTGTTACTAATAACTGTAAGCTTTGTATGTAATTGTTGTGCATATTTTATTAAATGTTGAAAAAGCATGCGCAGCAATTACATACAGGCTTACAATTATTGATAATTGTTATAGAATGGACTTCTAAAAAATTGCGTGTTTTATATAAATGTAGACATGGAGGGACTGGAAATCAAATGTATTAAAAAAATGCGCCCAAAATAAAAGTTACGCTGGCGGTACAGGCGGAGGACCACCAAAGATTCTTAAATTAACAGAACTAGAAGAAAATTTATTAGAAATCATAGATCCGGAAGCAGCTGGTTTGCCTGAGATACCTGAAGGAGGAAATTTTAGTAGAATTAAACAGAAAAAGTCTGCACCTAATGATACAATCTCAAAAAGATCCTCGAACGAATCTGCTAGTTTGCTTCAGATATCTGAAGCAGGAAATTTTAGTAGAATTAGACCGAGAGAGTCTGCACTTAATGATACAATTTCGAAAAGATCTTTGAAAGAATCTTTTTATACAAATGAAGGATCATGTAAGACTGTGCAAGAACAAAACTCATCTATTGCTGCGCAAATAAAAAGAGTATATACATATATGTGCATTCGAATATAATACATACTAATATAATATCATTAATAATGATTAATATGTTTAGTTTTAATAGGAATTAATAATAGATAATATGATAATATCCCAAATAATTTTTACATATTTAAATATTTTCAGAAATATACTTCTATATTACCTACAAACAATAAAATGTACAAGATAGATGTAACTAATAATAATCCATCAACTTCTACAAACACAGATTTTTTGGCACAGGTTAGTAAAATCACATATCTTTATTCACGAATAGAATGTATGCTCATATATTTATATATTTGTAATAAAAAATTAATCATTTATAGGAAATGGAAAGCAGCATTGTTGATAATATTGAATTTGAAGAAATTGACATTGATGAAATTAATGCTAATGTTAATGTTTTGGAGGATGAAATTAATGCTAATGTTGATGTTTTGGAGGATGAAAATATAAATACCGCATCACAAGTGAAAGTTATTTCTGAACGTTATGAAACACGAAGCAAAGGTATTAAATATTATTGATTTTTGTGCTTTTTTTAAATATTGATATTAAAATAAAATTAAATAGAATATAAAATTTTGAAACAATATTATATTTTAATGTTTCTTTTATTTTTCAGCTACCAATAGTAAAGAAAATAATTCTGGTGCAGCTGTGCAATTAATGCGTGAAAATCTTGAAATTAAAAATGAGAAATTAAGGATCTCTAAAGAAAAATTACTTTTACGGAAAGAAAAATTTGAATATTTAAAAGATATTTATTCTGACTATAAGTATATTTTAAGTAATATTGACTACAATGTTATGCGTTTAAGAGAAGAAATGGAGAAAATATCACCTACATATCTTACATAATTATCAAAAAGCTAAAAAATCTTTGCTATTTCAATTATTTATTTATATTTGTTATATTATAAATATATAATAAATAAACAATATTTTAAATAATTTTTAATAATTATATAAGACATAAACATGTAGGTGATATTTTCTGTACCTGATATTTTTTGCATCAGTATTATATGTTTAAAAGATACTTCTAATGTTAGCAAATATTTTATGTTATAGAGATTTTATGTTCAAAAGAGATTAGACACTGTAATGACTGTCAAACTGTGATTAATAAAAATAAATATGATTATAAAAATAAAAATAAATAAAAATAAAATTATATTTAATAAGGAAAACAATTAGATATTTAAAGACAAGGCTCGTGTGTTATTATAAAATTAAGATTTAGAAAGACAGGGCCAACTATAACGAGCATATTAAATTAGTGAGAGATGTAATGTCAACACATAATTGATTTATTTCTTAGTAAATACAATGATAATAAAAATAATAAAACGTTTCGGCTGTTACCTCAATAAATAAAATTATATAAATAAATTAAATAAAAATGTTGAAATTATAAGTGCCTATTTTGGAAATATGTATTTATGATTCTTTGCCGAACTTCATTCCCATTTTCCATTGCTATCTCTTGATATCTTGGAACTTCTAAATCTATTACATCATAATATAGCTCCGGTTCTGGAAGTCTCCAACGAATAGCAATGTTATGTAAAACGCAGGCAGCATTAACTATTCGAGCTAAAAATGAAAATATTTATGCAATATTTATATATGGTAAACATCTCATAACATATATACATCAAATGTAATGTTAATTGCAAATCTGTACTTAAGGTATTTTTAGTCGACGATCATTGGATTAATTGTGTGTGTGTGTGTATGTGCGCGCGCGCGCGTGTTTATGTATGTAAAAAAAAATATATATATATATATATATATATATATTAGTTGCAATAAACATATTTTATATACGTTATGAGATAATTTATATGATATATATATATATATATATATATATTTAATACATTTTACATGCATTGCACTAAACATTTTGGCTATTATGTTGACGAAATGTCACGCTAACATTTCGGCATCAGCAAATGTCCCTCCTCTAAAATATTTCAGGAGAACGTTTTATTTGTAACGTTATTGCATTGTACAAGTATAGTTATACAAAATTCTATTGTTACATTACCTGTACGTTGTAATAACGTTACAAATGAAACGTTCTCCTGAAACATTTTAGAAGTTGGACATTTATTGTTACTGACATAAATGGCCACAATGTTTAATATTTCTACTTTCAGATTTTAATATCAATTATACCTGCAACTTCTGGTTCATAATGTAGAGCTCTCTCTTTTCTTAGGCATCGCCACCTTCCCTTTAGTACTCCTATGCATCGTTCCACACAAGATCGAGCTCGAACATGATGCTGTGTGTATCTTGCTGCTGGTGTACCTTCAGGTACATTCAGCTTAGGTGTCATCAAATATGGCAGCAGTGGATAAGCACTATCACCTATAAAAGAAAAGACATATAAAGTTTATTATACATTGAAAAATATTATTGCCAAGACTGAAATAAAATAAAACACTCTATCAACTAAATATTATTACCTAAAAGCCAAGCATCTCTTCGTCCTTCAGTATACATTTCCTGCAAATGATTCGATAGAAGAGATGCCCTCCACACTCTGGCATCATGTGTTCTTCCACCATGTGCAGCATTTACGGTCAAAATTTTACCTTCATAATCCGATATCTATAAATTTATTACATACATATATTTTATATATATATTGTGTGTGAGTTTTGTATATTATAGATAAAGTTACTTACAATAAGAACATTTAATGAATGATATAATTTTCTATTAATATAGAGATGTTGTCTTTCTGCTTTTGGTGGAACAATTGCTATATGGGTTCCGTCTATTGCTCCAATAACGCCAGGGAACTGTGTACGTGCCCAGAACCTTTAACATTAAAGTAAAATATATTTTTTCTTATATAATGTTACACACATTACAAAGTATCATAATGTTTTACTTATTGAGAAAATATGGTATTTATAACTGTATAAGATTTAACGTTGTAGGATGCCGGGTTAACGTGATCAAATGATTGTACGCGTTTTGAAACGGTTTAAATTAGTTTATTCACTTTTACAAGTTCGTCGCGTACGGAGACTTATGTTTCTCGGCGCTCGCTCTCTCGAGGACTGACTCGAGGGCTGCGCGAATTTCGGAGCTCGCGTAGGGCGGCAGCCGATCGGGGTCCTCGATTGGACCATCGGAAAATCAGGCGATGTACACACGCCAATTAGCGGCGAGTGTACACGTTGGTTTCACGTGTTTCCTTGGCGTAAACACTAAGGAATTTAACAAAAAACATTCTAGAAAATTCGATCGTCCTCGAGGATTCGATCCGAAGAACGAATCTTCAACAATAACATATATATTTATACAATAATTTTTTGTTACAGATTCTAATTGCGTTAAATTTTATGGCTTCCAGTTCATATAAAAAAAGAGTTGAACAGAATTATTTATCATGTGTAAGCTAATCAACAGTCAGCAAAATTCTACGCTTTTATGTTGTCAATACGTTGAATATTTTAATGCAACAATGGATTCAATTTCCAATTAAAGAGTTAAAATAATTACTTAATTTATTCATTATTTACTATGATATAATGCGTAATATGTATGTATTATAATATGTACTATTACTTTATTATAGATTAAATTCATTAAACTTACCTTTCTTTCACATGCTGAATTTCTCCCTCTTTGATTGGAAATTGAATCCACTGTTGCATTAAAATATTCAACGCATTGACAACATTGGATAGAATTTTGCTGACTGTTGGTTGGCTTACACATAATAAATAATCCTGTCCAACTCTTTTTTGATATGAACCAGAAGCTATAAAATTTAACGCAATTAGAATCTGTAACAAAAATTGTTGTATAAATATATTATAAATACCATATTTTTTCTATAAGTAAAATCATTATAATACTTTGCAATGTGTGTGACATTTTATATATATATATATATAATATAAAAAAACTGTTAATCTCGGCTCAAATTATTGTGTTACAATAAAAATAAAATCTCGACGGCAATCGGAGCCTGTGCGGATGACATGCACAAAATTAATAAATTAAAATGAGATCTCAAGTCAAACTCATTTATTAAATTCTAAACGTTTCGACCCACTTCGGGTCTTCTTCAGTAGAATCCGCAAATAAATTAAATATCATTCTCCTCCCTATTCGAACCGTCCGGCCGTCGGAGTGTCTCCCTAACGGTGACCATCGTCAGGAAGGAAGCAGAGCAGTGACTCCCTTACCAACACCCGACAGCAAAAACAGAGAGAAGACGATGCTACACGTGACACATCACTCTAACGACTGATATATACATATATTACATGAGGTGAGGCACAGATGTGATTTATTTATAATAAATAAACGTTATTTGAATGTAATGTATAAAAAGATTGTGAAATAGTTACATGTTTGAACACATAAACGCTATCCAGCTATCCAGAAGGAAAGTGTATTACACACACACACACACACACACACACACACACACACACACACACGTATACATTTTTCTTTATAATGCTCAGAATAAAAAATCAGCACATGATCCACATTCTCTCAAAAACCATGAAATATGACACACATTTTTCATACATAATTTCCAATATTTTTAAACATAATTAATTGTGTCTGCGCGTACGCTCGATTGTTGATGTCGAACGTTCGCGCACGAAGCTACGGACACCGACAATCGGGTTGTAAATCCGATCGTCGAACTCCGTCTCGTGTATCGGTTGCACAAGAAGGTTCCAAGTGGACTGTATCTTAAGGAGGGTGGATGCGCTCCGATTGGTGCGCGGGATAGGTAATGATTTAAGCCGCGTGCCGAATCGAGAACTAGAATACTGAATTATATGCACACATTACAAAAACAATCCATTTATTAATTAAACTAAATTTGTCCGGGAATCACAATATACAAAAACGCAAATTAGTTTGAAACTTTTACATAAAATCTTTAGCTCAGAAAATAGTCACCGCGAGAACACGTACGACGTGATTGCTAAGCAGCCCGGGCTATCTCGCTGTATGGTATCTAGCATGTGTTGCATG